GAGAGGCGGGGTCCACCCTGGACAGGTCGCCAGTCCATCGCATGGCAACACAGAGACAAACAACCATTCACGCACAAACTCACAAATAAGGAAAATTTACAGAAGCCAAATAACCTAACAGTCATGTTTTTGGACTGTGGAAGGAAGCCAGAGTACCCGGAGAGAATCCATGCATGCTCAGGGAGAACATGCAAACTCCATGCAGAGAGACCATTGGTCGGGAGTCCCAAGAGAGAAATTTAGCTTTGGTAAAGCCAGTTTAAGAAGACAAAAACACAGAAAGACAAAACATTCATGGGGGGGCGAGGTGTCCGGGACCTTGCTGCCATCAATGGCGCTGCCGGGTTAAGACAAAAAAAGAGAAAATGATCACAGTGGTTAAGATGTAACAAGAGAGAGGTACATGGCTGTAAGGTGGGGTAAAGACTACTTCACCCCTTCACATATTGTATAAGGCATCCCTGTTTCTGGTCTCTCTTCCCCCACCGTCCTTTGGCTGGGATGTGGTCCAGTCACAACAACATGGGGCAGCTCCTCCCACTGGAGTTTTCACCACTGTCACCTTATCTGGTTCAGCACCAAGACTCATTCATCAGTTGGAAGGGGTCCTGTTATGCAGCCTTTCAGGGGCGGATATATATGGCGCTAGACACTTTTCAAAAATAAAAGTGCTAGAGTAGATTGTGCTTCAATTACACTCTTGTATTATTCTGCATCTGACTCCTTTTCTGCTTGTCAAGAGATTCTGGGGAGGGCAGGAGGAATATAAAGAACATCTGCTTAGGTGTTGGGTTTTCCAGGCCAATATTTGATGTGATGTGAAAGATTGGAACGCTGGCTATCTGTGCAACCCATCTCTGCTTTACAGCTCTGAAAATTGCATTCTGTAAATCAACTGGTGGGTTATTGTATGTCACCAGGGTTATTTCTGCCCCCTGGCATAGTATTGCCACTGTAGATGGTTCAGGGTGGTGGAGAATCCTACTGGAACTCCACAACAGCAGCCCCTTTATAAGGATCTGGTTGCAGTAATCAATTCTACAAAAGATAAATAAAAGAATGAGTTTTTCTAGATCCTGCTTGGACATTATTTCTTTAGTCCTGGAGATATTCCTCAGAGTTAGTCACTGCCTTAGAAACCCTAAAAAGACCAAAAGTTGTTTCATAGAAAACAGACACATGTTCTGGCATTGTAAAACACACTTTAAATTCATTAAAAAATAGGTAATAAAGTTTAATCTGGTTTGGATTTCAGGATAAATTCTTCATTAGGGTTCATGCTCAAAGTTCAGCTTTGCAGGTGGGTGTGTTGATTTCCATTTAACTTATTTTCCTGATAAGAAATTTGGCCCTCTTCCAGTATTCCTTGAAAAGCTTTAGTTACTGGTACAACTCCATCTGTCAAAAAGCAGCTGTTTTACCCTTAGGGCTTTTTTTCTCCTGTTGTGAACACGATCATTTGCTTCCTCTGAAACAATCAGCCTTTCAAAGTTCAGCTCTTCTGATGCATGTCAACTTGTCTTGGCTTGTGGACTTCTTAATTGTATTTCACTGGAACCCGAACAGAACTTCAAGTCAACACAGGAATGGAAAAACGAACATCTGAATGCCCAGGTATATACTTTTTTTACCCAATACATATAAAATAGTGACCATCATTGAGGGATAGGGGGGATAGGGGGAAAACAAGCATAAAACATTGGTGTTTTTTCAGGAAATTTGGGATTTAGAAGGTAAAAATGTGGGAATTATAGTGCTTAAACACAGCACCAAGGTAAAACAACAACATCAAATACTAAAAGAGTTCTGCACATTAACATATGTAGGGCTTTAATGTTATTTTAGGAACAAATTAAAATTCATCATTCTAAAGAGCAAAAATATTGAGTCTATAAAACATTTAAAGGAAAAAAAGATCAGGACCTCGTTAGTATCTTTATTGATGCTTATACTGTAAAGGTAAATCCTATAAGAAGAGGCTGTTCAGACATGTGCTTCGAAAATAATAAAAAATATCTACATTATATATTAAAAATACATGGGAAAGGGAGGCTAAAATAATGCTGTCAGAGGATGAATGGCTAAACATTTGCAAAATGACTTCCACCTCCACTAATTCAGGATACTTGAGGGAATTTTCATGGAAGAATATTGTTAAGTTTTTTTTTATAACCCCCAAAATAACATTTTCCTCGACCGGCAGGGCTGAATCTGGGCATTGTTGGAGACGATGTAACAATGTGATGGCTGACCATTTTCATATTTTCTGGGATTGCCCTCTGATCCATTCCTACTGGTTAAAGGTAGCCAAAGAGATAAGAGTAATTTTTGGGTTTAAATTGAGCACAATTTCAAAGTTATATATCTAGGCAATTTACCAACTAATAATAATAATAATAATAATGAATTTTATTTATAACGCACTTTACTACAAAGTGCTACATTTAAAAAAGGGAAAATTAAAACAAGTTTAAAAGACCAACTGAACTCAACACCCAAGATAAGTTCCTTCTGAAAATACTGCTGGTAGCAGGAAAGAAATCAATATCAAGAAAGTGGCTTAATAGTGGCAGCCCACAGACTTTGTGTGACTGGTCAGAAGAAATATGTGAAATGGAAATTAGGGATGCACGATATTGGGATTTTGGCCGATATCCGATATGCCGATATTTTAAAACTCATGTAGCCGATAACCGATATCGATACT